AATTTAGAATCACCAATTAACCTCAACATGTTTTTAGACTGTGTGGGAGGAAGCCGGAGAACCCGGAGAGAACCCACGCTGTACGGGGAGAACATGCAAACTCCACACAGAAAGATTCCAGGTGTCCTCACCGGGACGCAAACCGGCGACCTTCTAGCTGCGAGGCAACAGTGCTACCAACTGCGCCACCGCAGCAGCCCCTCTGATGGACAATGCCAGCTGAAAACTCCCCATTTACATGACTTAAAGATGCAGAGAATTCAGCAGTATTGTTGTAAATTCTAAGCTACTGCCAAAGTCAGAGGGCAAATTAAAATTTTTGACTTGAATATACAGACCAAACCTTCTCACTTGGTCACGGGGTTTAATAAAAACTCTTGTGGAGTTACACCTTTAACTTAAATAATAAACCTTCCTTGTTTTTTAATTTTAGAATGTTTTACTTTCCACTTTATCTCAAGAACAAGACAACTGAAAAACTTGACAGTTTCACACTTCATTTTGTAAACTTTTGCTTATAATTTAATACTGTCCTGCATTATAAAAGGACACACACTTTGTCAAAATGACCCTAACTTAAATTAAGCAATGCTAGTGTGCATCCTTATGTATTTGTATGTGATAAACCAAACAGCAGCCCACTCACAGTGGTCTCAGAGATACTGGAGGTCTTAGACTCTACAGGAAACCTTTAAGCTTTACAACTGTGTTGAGTTTGATTTAGATATTTTTGATTTCACATATTTGATATACATTTTCTTGCATCTATGCCATCAAGTTTAACATCTAGATTTTCTTTCATTTACAGTTTCTACATTACGTATTTAAATTTACCTCCATATTCATAACACAGTTTTCAGAAATTTGAAACTGTCACCTAAAACCACTTCTCTGTTTTACGTCTTTATTAATTTGTTTTTTCCTCTTCAACTGTTCTCAAAGTCTCATTCAAATGACACCAAGAAAAAACAAGCCATCTACAAAGATATTTCTGAACCATTTCAATACTTTACAAAGGTCATTGAAAAGTAAAATTAACAACCTGAGACAAAGAAGTGGCCCACAGTTTGCTTTCAAGGATTCAGACACAGTGTATTGACTCATACTGCCATCTGTTGCTGAAGTTAGAGAATGTTTTACTGCTCTGTACTGTTCACACACTTATGATCAGTTATGTTGAATGCATTTCTTTGATGTGTTACAAACACTGTTTATCCCTTTTTGATGACTGCAGTAGATCATTTCACAAGTTTAATTTATGCTAACCCAGACACATTGAACATTCTTCAAAATGTTAGAACCATAAAATCATCTTACAAACTAATCAACAACAAGAGTTAAAAACAAAGACTGTTTTGAAAATTTAAAAATGACCAAAAGTCAGACAGAAGGTTAGAAGCAACAAAAGTTCTGGACTCACACTCATTTACATCAGTGTCAGCTGCAGTCAACGGTCTTCTTCCTGAAGCAGGTAATTAAGGTCCAGACCATGAAAGTCCATTAAGAACAGGACTGAAACCACAAGTTATACAGTCATGGTGAAATTAGTCTTGTATAGATGAACCATTCTGCATTACAGACTTGTCTGGCTGTACTTCATTAATATTCAGCTACAGGGGAGAAAAAAACACTGGTTTGTTTGTACTTTATCAAACAAATTACAATCATATTGGTTGGAGCTACACAAAGGATGGAGCCACAGCGTCCCCTCAAAATAGTGATAGGGGAGTTGTTTTGGTGAGATCCTTTCCATGCAGGAACGTGAGCACTGTGATTACAATGGATAATTCACTGAATGAAAACCAGCAGGGCTGCCTTACAACAAGATCGAAATCCTCGGCAAAACTCGACGTTTTCAGTATGATAGGTTACTGCCCAGAGGTTGTTGTCATTGTGTCCTTTGTACAGGGTATTTTGAAAAAGGTAACATGCAGATAGCAGGAGAGGAGAAAAATGCATGAATTCAGGGGCTGGTGACAGGCTTATGTCTAAAGTCTACGTCCAGTCAGTTAGACTATGGTAAATGTTCTTTGCAATGTTTTAAGCTGAAAATTAAAACTGATGCATTGTGGAGATGTGAGAGTTTCATTAATTTGTTAAAAAGTGACACAGTAGGAGACCTTAAAGGATGGTGGAAGAAGCTTTTAATTATTTTGTGATTTGATCATGCTCTCAAGAGCAGAACTTCTTAGAAAAGGACAAGTTGTGTTGCTTTTCATCTCGCATCTCACGTCCACCATTTCTCTGATTTGTGTCTAAAGTAAAAGAAAATTTAACTTCTAATCTTCATTTTTGAAGGAATGACACTGTGGGACCACGACGACTTGAAGAAAAATACAAGAGAACAACTAAAACCCAGCAGTGAATTTGAGATAGTTGCATCTGAATGTATTGAGGATAAATCATCAGCGCTCAATGTGGAGGCCTCCCTGAAGGCAAGTTTTCTTTGTGGACTGGTTGAGGTGGAAGGATCAGCCAAATACCTGCATGATGACAAGAAATCTAAGAATCAGGCCAGAGTAACACTGCAGTACAAAGCAACTACCAAGTTCCAGGAGCTGTCCATGAATCATCTCGGAAGAGGCAATGTGAAGCATCCGTATGTATTTGAGCAAGGCTTAGCAACACATGTAGTCACAGGTATCCTTTATGGGGCACAAGCCTTCTTTGTGTTTGACCGGGAGGTGTCTGACAAAGAAAATCATCAAGACATTCAGGGCAACTTGAAAGTAATGATCAAGAAGATTCCCTGCATTTCAATAGAGGGTGAAGGGTCCCTGAAAATGGAGGATAAGGACACAACAAATATTGAGAAATTCTCCTGCAAATTCCATGGAGACTTTTCTCTTG